TTTTTTCTTTAATTCCTGGCAGTGGTTTGTACTAACATTTCTTCCTCATATCATTGTTTTTTTCCATTTCTCATCTCTTCGTCTCATTATTTTCCTTATCTTTAATTCCTGTCAGTCGTTTGTATTCTTAGTGAGTTTGTTGCTTTTCAGAAGAGCTTAAAAATGCTCAGGCTTATACTAAAGATTTCAAGCAGCAGATTTTAGAATTACAAGGTGATTAGCATTAGTCACTTGGTCTTGTAACCATACTAACACTCGTTAATTGCTTACGTGATAATCCTAACCCAGAATAACTAATTTAACTTGTGATCAAAGTGCATTTTCTCCTTTTACTCGCTTTTATTTTMAAGGAGAAGTTGTATATTGATCACAGGTGTTAGCTGTATGATAACANNGATTGGTTATAACTAGCCAATGAAGTGACGTTAATCTTTTGGTCATTCTGATTGGTTAGAATTAGCCAATGATATCGCGAAATAGTWTAGATCATTTGGATTGGTTCAATTTACAAAGAATTGACCAATCGTTTGGCATATTAGTGAKTYTACGATTTATTTTTGGTTTGTTTTAAAATCATATTAAAAGAAATTTTAACGAACGTTTCTTACAGTTTGAAAGRTTTGTGATTGGTAACAGATGTTTGTGCGATGGAATTTTATTGGTTAATTTATTTGAAACTTGACCAATCTTGTGATTGCGAAAATCGGTACTCTTCGGGCTGCCTGTGGTGCCCATCGAGTTATTTTCGAATTAATTTTGTATTGGTTGGATTAATCAACCAATCACGAGTGTAGTTTGATGTCCTATTTTTAAGGACATTTGTGAAATCAATAATTTCGGTGCGTTTCATTCTTAGAAATTAGAATTAGATCTTTCTCATGGGCTTCCTGTGGCAATAAAGCAAAGGGAGCCCAGCTTTTCACCTTCCTCGTGTSTCAAGTACATTGTCTCAACAAAGCATTTTTATAAGTATATTGTACAGTGAACATTATCGAATTATTAMTAGTAACAGCTGATAAATGCTTCAATTACTTGGATTAGGCAATGAGTTTCTTCCCTCCCCACCCTTAGTGAAATCAAGTGTACCATACTCAGTTGTGTGGTTCAAATTTCGTACTATGGGAAGGGAGGGACGGTTCATTTATTGTAAATATGAGTTCTAATATTTCTCTTTGTTAAATTCTACTAATATTACAATTAGTTGTTATGAATTTTTTCAATTTCTCCCAAAAACCAATGTAATTTTTTTTGTATGATTTTGTATTACCTGTATATCGRTCTGCTTCAAATTATTTCAATTGTGTCAATGGGTGGAGAATTTTAATAACAGCAATAAAGAAATGTTCTGCACGCGTTCTCTGTTGAGATGGTTGTAATTTATTCGTTAATTCTATGAACTATATTCAGACGTAAAATATAACGTCAACCCCCTCTATAACGTCAACCCTCGCTATAACGGACATATAAGCGATCTTAATTAACAAGTTTGCTATAGTGAGTGTTTGCTCTAAGGAGATTACTTTCACTCATTGCTTTAGAGCGGGTATTTATTTAAGTGTCCGTAATCATGCGGTGTCCGTAATCATGCATTGTCCGTAATATCGAGGTCTATTATTTGGTTTCTTGGAAACTCCGTTCGATAACGACCAGTAAAGCCATGGCTTCTTATTTC